GGAAAATGCCAGCTGTTAGTTTCCAATCTTTTCATGCCTACAGAAAAATAATAAAAGTTTCTCTTGCAAAGAACTGAGGAAGATCAGAGTTTTCTATTTGAAATCTCTGTATTTATCTTATGAATTGTGTTAGTAAACCTAATGGTGTTAACACTGTGTGGCACCCTACAGAACCCTTGAAAGGATCTCAAGGCACTCTGGTTGAGAACCACTGTCCTAGTTCCACTGTGCACCCAGTGTAGGCAACATCTAGGGGATTAAACCTTATCCCTTCCTGAACTCCACACTTCTAGTTTTTGATTACAGCCAGACACTCAAATTGGCAGCAGGGTGGCAAGGAACATTGACTCTTGTGTGCTGGCTGCCTCGACACAGCAGTTCTGATAGCCACAGTAAGAAGTTCTGCAGTCCACACCCAGAAGCAGGTAGCCTGGCCCATGAAAAGCTCCATGGTCTGAATCTGGCTCACCAACTCATTTGAGTTTGACGATCCTGCTCTAAAGCATCTATTACTGGCCACTGCCAGAGACAGATAGGCTAGATCAGGGGTTGCAGGGATGTACAGGGGGTACTTGAGAAGGCCCTAGGCAGTACACACAGGCAGGTAGGGATGGAACACTGCCACACACCAGCTCGTGCTGCCGCACAGGTGCTGCCCACCTGGCCAGATGCAAGGGAAGCTTGCATGCGGTGATTGCTGCCACTCCCACCTCCAAAAAGGTTGAAAACACCTGGGCTAGATCGAAATGCAGCCCACAGGTGGGATCCAACCCACCAGGTGATCCTATCTGGCCCAAAGCAGGTTCCTCACCTCTGCATGCACGCAGCCAGATCTGCTGCCCCTGGGCACAGAGGTGCCACCTGGTCCTAAATGTAGCCTACCCTATATCCCCACACGCAGTTCTTGGGCACACTGGAAGCTGTAGTCTGTGGGGCTGGGCAATGTGGTGGCCAGACTCAGTTTCCCAACAGTCCCTGTGGCTGTGACAGTTTGCTTTTGCCCTCACACTCTAGTGTCTCTGCTTCTGCTGCTAGACTCCACCCTGCTGCCCAGGCCTGTCTATCCAGCACCCACCACTGGGACACTAGACAGAGCAGGTGGGTGAGTGGGGTCTCCATGATGACCAGCCTTGGATCCCTGCAGACAGGGTGCACTTGGCCAGGCAGAGGGGATGGGGTCACAGGCAGGGAGCAACATCCAGGAGCAGAACAGGCTGGAGGGGTCAGGATCACGGTGGTGAGAGCACAGGGCCAGACCCCAGAGCAGAGACACAATCTGCTGCCCACACGTCCTTGTGATGGGCACTGGATCCACAGGCAGCAGCCAGCCCCTACCAGCAGAAGCAGAGCCTGTTGTAGGGATGTGCAGGGAGCAGATTGTGCCTCTGCCCCAGGCCCACGCTGTCACTGCCCTGTGATCTCGGCCCTACCTGCCCATCACACTCCCAGACACTGCTCCCCACCCACCTGTGACCTCATCCCATCCACCCGGCTGAGTATACTCTGCCCATGGGGGGTCCCATGATAGTCTCCATGGCGATCCTTCCCACCCACTCCATCTGGTGCTCCCGATGGTAGGTGCAGGGTATGGGGCCAGATAAGATCAACTGGCATCTTCTCCTCATGCTGGGTGGTATAAACAGCTATGCTGAAGGCCAGGTTAGCACCCTCCCCCTAAGAGTTCAGCAAAACTCCCGAACTGTCCCTCCAACCCAAACAACTGCCCATTCCTGGGCTAGATGGACCACTGTTCTGACCGAGTACTGCACTTCTTATCTTTAAGTTTTCTGAAGTGTTCCTATTAATCATTCCTTGATTTAAGATTTCTCCTTCTCAAAAATAGAAAGCAGAGGTATATACATGAAAAAGCCTTCAACAATTTAAACAAAGAACTATGGTCTAGATCCTGCAAGTATGCGTTTATGTTCTTAAAACAGAATGAACTACTCATAATGGAACCATTACTAATTATTTGTACTGAAGTGGAATGGAGAGGCCCCAATCCAGGACCAGAGCACTCCTGTGGTGGGCCCTAGCCATACATAAAAAACCCTCCCAAGTTAAGCGAAGGCAGAAGCATTTTCTGCATTAAGGCTGCAGGCAATAGTTGCATCACACACAATGTTATATCATGTGCAAGAATTCTGAGTTATTGCTGCAGTAAGAATTCCTTTAGTTTCTCAGAAAACAACTGTCCTGCCATAATGTGATAAAGGGTTAGCCAGGGCAGTTTAAGTGTCCCATAAATAGTGTGGGATTGAAAGAATAAAATCACTTTTGAAACATCTGCTATATTAGATGAAATATTAATGGCATTTATCCTTAATGCAAGTAACCTCAGTGAGAACATAAAAAAATCCTTAAAATACACATTAAAAATACACCACATTAAAAAAGCCAGAAACTATAAATAATAAAATGTCATTTACTTTCATTTAGCCTGACACCCTACATTCTCCACAGAACATGGATTATACAAAGCCAGCAGTCGACTAGGTTCTGAATCAGTGATTCTCAATCAAGAGGCTGCAGCATCTGCTTTGAAAAGGGTGCCACACACGTTTGCACTGTCAGGTGTGCAAACATGATTCAAAAGAAACTCAGAGATTTCAAATAGGAATCCATAGAGCTAAAAAACATTCTGACCTATGGTATTTATGAGTTCTTTGTAACAGAAAAACTGCTCTACTGTTTTTCTGTAGTCAAAAAGAGTGAAAGCTAAGGGCTGGAATTTTCCAAGGGGTGCCTCAAATCTAAAAAGGAACTACTGTTTAGAAACACCATTCTAAACAGAAGCATAAAGTTTTATCTGCCTTCAGAACCATGGCAAACACAAAGGACAGCCTCAACATGGGGTCTAATTGATAGGTAAAGTCATCTCTCCCTTTGCTTTTCAATTTATTAAAAGGCAATAGCAGTTTTCTAAACTATTATGTCCTTCAGTCCCAAAGTCTCAGCCATCCAAACCACAAATTTCTGAAATTGGCAGTAAAAAAAAAATCACCAATAATCTGGCTGCTAAAACATCACCACATGGAGAAGCATACATGAATGAAGCGAACAGAGCAAGAGCGCACCACAAACTCATCAACTCATCCCTTGACCTCTTGAGCACTAAAACAGAGAAGGTAACATTGTGGCCACACCACCTATGCATTAAAAGAAATCAAGGAATAAATGCTCCAAGGTCCCAAGAGCCTCTCAGGAAAAATGAACAAACAAACAACCTTATGGCAGAGAATACAAGGAAATGAGACTCTGCAAGAATCAAAGCTCTCGTCTACTTTTTGTTCAGGGGAACATTCAACACATTTCAAATGCTGCAACTGCCAGCACAGATAACATGCATATTTGAGACTCAATGGAAGTCTTGCCACAAAATCCCTGTAAAGAGGAACAGACTCCATATAGTAGACAAACCAACCCCCTCCCCCCCACCACCAAAAAAACCCAACCACATCAATGCCAAGCAATTTCATATAATTAAGAAGAGCTGCCTGGTAGATCAGTGGTTTTCAAACTTTTTTTGGCTGCATCTCTCATACTTGCAAAATACTGCTGCTCATACTCCATTCCCAATGTGTCCCTGCATGTTCATTCCTTTGGAAGCGTCAGCACCAGTGTCAGGGGTCCAAGCACATAGTGGCCTTGCTGCACAACTAAAATCTCTACCACCATTATTAAAACTTAGGCATCTACCCTTTGGCAAAGCATCACTACCACAATTTGAAAAGCACTGTTGGTTCCTGATTGCTATGAAGCACTGTTGTAGGCTTCAGAAAATGACTTTCAACAATACATTATAAACCCAAGTTTGTATATCCAAAAATCAGGACAAGAGCAGGTCATGATATCCACTGCTACAACCAAGCCCCCACTGATTTTGGGGTCATGATGTTTGCAACTCAGTATCAGTTTAAACAAGCTAAAAGTGCAACAGCTCAGAAACAAAATAAAGGCAGCAAACGCATTTACTTGACCATTATTAATGACAAAAGACAGACAGACTCTGAAACAAAAGTCCCTATGCCTGTAAATGTCCATTGAGAGGAAGGAATCAAGGCCACTAACAGGGACTGCAAGTCCCACAACAACTCTGGTTCCAGACATTAGCTGTCACAAGGCAGGACTTGGGTAGTCCCAAAGGGCACTGCTTTTCTAGGAAGCTCATGAGACTCAATGACACTGGACAACTGCTCTCCACAGTGGAAACATGCAGAAGCCATGCAAAATAGGAGACTGAAAGTTGCAGTAAATCAGGGCATTCATTGCATGCCGAACCACACACTTATATTGTGGCGGTGTTAGAGCATGCGTCTTTTCTCCTAAAGCAGCTGACTGTCGGAGGCACAAGGAACCCTGGGAGCTGTAGTCCGGCACTTGCTGTGTCGCAAGTTACAACCAATACTGAGAAAACTTATTTAACTTTTGCAACAAATACACATGGACCTGTGCTACCACCACATTTAGGAATATTATCTTGTAAACCATACCTATGCACTAAGCAAGATTACATAACTTGCTTAAACAGGTTTAATTTCCACTCTTAAATTGGACAGGAACACAGTAAATAGACAAATTAAAAACTTACAACTCATCTGTCTTGCAATCAGATGAGGAGGTGGGGGGGTGTCTTATTTTAGGGTTATTTAATACTTTAAATGCATTTTTCCTCCATTCTCCCTTGGGAGGAAAGGTACGATACTGAAAGCACTGCAAATATAATCTCAGGACAAGAAGCACAAGCTACTGATTAAATTTTATTTGAAAAAAAAAAAAAAGGGGGGGGGGAATGACATGCAGTACCAACTGCCTTGTGAAAAACAATAATTCAAATGCACTTAAAACTGAAATAGGGTTTGCTTCAAGGCTGAGTAGTGCTGGCGAGACTTTCTGAAATCCTTTACACTTTACTTCCATGCTCGGGACCTGGCTAGAAACTTGCTGGCCCCAGACAGCTGAGACTCACAAACTGATGCTGCCTTCAGAAGCAGACTGACCTGCGCTTGCCGGATTCACACGGGGCTCCCATGGAAGAGCTGGCACCCACAACCACAACCTGCAGAGCAGCCAGTGCTTTCCCCCCTGGGGTTTCGCTCTCTGACAGAAACCCCTTTAAACCACCGTTTAAATCCAAGGTCTCGGCCACGTGTCTCGCTCTGGACAAGGACCCGCTCGTTTCGTCCCGTTTCCTCCAGCACTGGCAGCCTCTCCCCCCGCCCCGGGGGGACCTCGGGCGCAGCCCAAGGCCGGGGGAGCCACTCTCCCAGCCCAGTAGCGGGGCACAGCACAAAGGGCGGCGGTGCCCGGGGGCAGTCACACCGCCTGTCAACAGAACCACCCCCCTCCCTCCCAGCACAGAGCAGCGCGGGGGGTGGGGGCACGGCCCGCCCCCCCATAAGGCCCCTCCCTCCATA